CAGCACGCCAGGCCTTCCTGTCCATCACCAGCTCCCGGAGTCTACCCAAACCCATGTCCATTGAGTCGGTGATGCCATCTAACCATCTCATCCTCTGTCGTCCACTTCTCCTCCTGCCCTCAATCTTCCCCAGCATCAGGGTCTTTTCCAATGAGTCAGCTCTCGCATCAGGTGGCCAAAGTACTGGAGTTTCAGCTTCAACATCAGTCCTTCCAATGAACACCCAGGACTGATCTTCTTTAGGATGGACTGGTTGGATCTCCTTGCAGTCCAAGGGACTCTCAAGACTTGTCTTTTCCAACACTGCAGTTCAAAAGCATCAATTCTTCGGCACTCAGCTTTCTTTATAGCCCAACTCTTACTATAGATATACTATAATAAGCATTGACAAATACTTATTTTATATAAGCCTGAATGTGTCTTATTTGCTTAACAATGTCCATCAACTGACTAAATTTTCTAACACTTCTACTAACTTTCTTAATTTATATTATTGTCCAAAATCTGGTCATATAATCAGCTCGCCTAAATTTGAAAGGCTCTGTTGCCTTTAGATCCCCATCTCTCAAAATGTGTTGAAGGGCTTCAGAATTTTTGTTTATTCATAGCTTATATTGGTCATTATTAACTAGAGGAATGTGCATACAGAATTCCCTGTGGAGCTTTTCCTATAGTCCACCTGCTTGGAGGCCTGACCTCTGGAAATTCTAATTTATAATTCTTATGTAGAGTGAATTTTAGGGAAAAAAAAACTCAAGAAATTGTGATGTGGATCCCTCTGGCTTAGAACCACTTAGCCTAGTTCATTTGATTTCTGCCTTTTTAAAAAGGGTTTGTCTCATGCTTTTCTGAGTAATTAAAGATTATATTTTTCCTCAGAAATTTCTTCATCTCTTTTGATAAAAAGCTCTCTGTTCTCCCAAAGAATTAGCAGGCATAAAACTCTTCTTGAATCTCATTCCCCTAATCATTATAATGCTTTTCTTTGTACTTTATCATATTTTAAATCTCTAATGAAAAAATATTTATGCTTGGCTTTTTTAGTCAACTTTAGAAAAAGCTGCTGTTATAGCAAACAGGTAAAGAATAAAGATGTTTATAAAACAGCAATGAATTATTGTCTCAAATAGCCATTAGGTGTTACCTGTTCACTGATAATTTAGTTCACGCCTTATCTCATTTATATTTTAAGCAAGTTCATTATCAAAACTAGGACAGATCACTAATAAATTGCTGAGTGAAGTTGTGAATATTAGAGATTTTATTTTTGTTTCTTCTGTATAAAATCAGGATGATATTCAGTATTCAGCTGTCTCAGTAACTGAAACACTTAAACATATTAATCATTACAAAGTGTGTTCTCCCATTGATCTATTCTTTCCATTCTTTTTTCTCTCTGACTTCAGTTTGTCTTTTTTATCCTATATTTGAGTTCATTATTTCTGTCCTCTTTTTGTCTACAATCTGCTATTAAACCCATCCAATAGGTTCATAATTTCAGGTACTGTATTTTTCACATCTAGAATATCCACTTGATTTTTTCAGATTCCAACTGGCTATGAAATTTTCCATCCTTTCATCCATTTTGTTCATCATATTTTCCACTTGACATATTAGCCATAGTTATTTTAAAGTGCTTTTCTGCTAACTTCAATATTTAGATCACCAGTGGGTCTGCTGTATTTTTTTTTCTCTTTTCTTAGTCATATCTTCCTGTCTCTTTGCATGACTAGTATTTTATTTGTAGAACTTCCTGTAGCTCAAATGGTAAAGAATCTGCCTGCAATTCAGGAGACCAGGGTTCGAGCCCTGGGTCTGGAAGATCCTCTGGAGAAGGGAATAGCAATCCACTCCAGTATTCTTACCTGGAGAATCCCATGGATAGAACAGCCTGGCAGGGTACAGTCCACGGGGTTGCGAAGAGTTGGACAAGACTGAGCGACTAACACACATTTTATTTGTATGGTGGACACTGTGTAAAAAAGAACTGTAGAAGCTCCAGATGATATCATCTGCCAGACTGGGGACTCTTTTCCTTTCTTGGGGAGGGGTAAAGTATTGATACTTATCATCTCACTACAATCAGGCACTGAGCTGTGTTGCAGTTTATAGAAGAGTCAATCAACCCTGTTCCTCAGGTATGGTACTCTCTAGCTTCTGATTGACAGCTTGAGTTTCTGTCTCCCTAACACTAAAAGACTGTAGGAAATTTTGTTTTGCCTATCAGAATTTTGATTTGGATATTTAGTGTCATGACCCATATAATAATCTGGGAAATATCATGAGGGGAACATGAGTCATGTATGTATGGCACACCTCATCCCTCTAAAATAGGAATCAGCAAATTTATTTGCAAAGGACCAAAGTAAACATTTAAACTTTATAAACCATAAGGTCTCCATCACAACCACTCAACTCTGCCATTTTAGGGTGAAAGCAGCCACAGACAATACATGAATGAGTGTGGCTGTGTTGTAATAAAACTTTATTTATGGATATTAAAATTTGAATTTCATACAATTTTCACTTGTCATGAAACATTTTTCTTCTGATTTTTAAAAAGCTATTTAAATTACATAGGAACTATTCTTGGCTTGTGGAATGTGCAAAAATAGTGAGCCAGATTTAGCACAAAGTCCATAGTTTGCCAACCTCTATTTGAGAGGGACATTAATCTTGTGAGACTGTGAGAGATTTCATTCTTTCTTTTTTTTTTTTTACAAATTATTTTAATATATTATGTATATTAATATATATGCATGTATACACTGTCAGGAAAATTTTCTCAACTCGAAAAAAGTTTCTATGAAACATCTTCATTTCGACTACTTAGAGACAGAATATATTTTTTTCTGATTACAAAAAAGTATGCTGATTATAAAAATCCAAATACTATATAGATAAATTAAAAAGCAAAGGTCTCCCACAATCATACCTCTAGAAATAACTGTTTTCAATAATTTAAACAGGTTAGTACAAATTGTTCCAGAACACAGGCATATGTGCACACACACATATACAGACTACAATTTGGTTTTTGTTACTTAATAATATATCCTGGACATCCATCCATATCATTTCATTCTGCTTTCATCAGATTTTGAAGAAGTCCATGTCACCAAACTTCCAAATTTGCGATTCCCAAAATAACAGTTGTCACCATAAATGTATATGGATGATAGAGGACAATCAAACTCACGCTCTGAGTCAGAATATATTGTTGGACAATATACACAAGCTATTCTGTATGGTGAGAAGTGGTGGCCAGGGACGCGCTCCCCTACTAAGTAATGTGCTCCCAAAGTGTGCTCAATGACAAATTTGTTTATTGGCAAAATGAATAACTACTCTAGGCCAATGATAATGATATATTGTAACACTCATTGAGAATTTAGTATGTGCTTGACAGTGTACTTTTTGCTTTACATGCAATATCTCATTTAATCTTCATAACAATCATGTCAAAAAATATTATTATTGACTCTCTTTTATAGATGAAGAGACTGAGGCTTGGGGTATTAGATAACCTGCCCCAGGCAATAGAACTAGTAAATGCTGGATTTAGGATTAAGATTCATGTTCTATCTTAAAACCTATGCTCATGATCACTACTGTTTTTCACATAATGGACCTTTGGGATTGTATATGAAATGTGGAAATAATGCTTCTCAATTCTGGGTCTACTATATAATCAACCCTGAATGATATACGATAAGGATGAATAGTACTGAGTATCTCCCTCCACTATATGTCTCCTTAGAATGCTTTTCATATACCAGATTACCTATGAAAAGCAGGCAAAAGTTTCCAGAATACAGATGTAAAAAGAAAAGACATTGGCTGGGGATGGTCTGGTCTCATTGTTAAGCTGTAACATCTCCACAAAGATCTCTGGAGTTGACAGGCATTTAGAGAAATGACCAGATATATTATATACTTAAGGTAATATGATAAACTATAGATTATTCAGAGAGTCTAAAACCTGTATAACTTATCTTGATTAGAAAAGAGAGGAGACGGGAAAATATTAAAACTCAAATCAGGTTTGTTACTCAGTGAGAGCTTTTATAAAGATTAAGTGACAGGGGAGGAGACTAAAATCTCCTCAGAGGAAATTAGAGACTAATATTTTAAATTAGATAATCTATATGCAAAGGAGGAGCTTGGACTTCAGTGTCAAGAATATCTAGACTATAAAAATAACTCTATTTGTAAACTATAATTTTAGGCAGGTTACTTAAGCTCCCTGAATCTCAGTCTATTCATCATAAAACAATTATAATTACATACACACCAGAATTTTTTTATTTTGCTTTTTGGGAGAGGATTGAATAACACATTTATAGCCCTTTACCCCACAGCAGTTGCTCAGTAAACGGCAGATATTTTCATTATTCTCTAATTCTCTACCTCTGAGTTGCTCCTATTTCCTTTGTAATAAGATGACTTGATGCATAGTATCATTTACTTAGTACAGATAAACCTACATAAGCCAATGACTGGTGAGTTTATGTGAATATACTATTGAAATGATATCTGTTTCTTTTTGATCACAGTAAAACCATGGCAGTATTTGTTTAGAAAGTATAACTGTCACATTTTGATCTCACATAGTTGCCTGTATCTAATACTAGCAAAGATACTAGTATTATAATTTGTGCTATTTATACTAGTTTATGCTGAAAGTTTTCCTAGTATCTAAACTAAATAAAACTGAAGGTGGAAGCAAAGACAGATGGAAATAGAACAAGAAATGAAAAACTGGTATTTCTTCTATGTAGATGTGACACATTGTTATAGCCTATAAGCTAGAAGAATTCAGAAAGACACATTTTCCTCTACCTGATTGAGAACTTCATAACCTAAAAAGATACACCGACTACAGATATGAGAAGGGCAAAACATTTATGAAAACACATAAATAAATTCAAACTACTAATTATAATACTATAAAGTTATTTAAGAAAATAATTTTAAAAAATGAATTATTCCAAACAAACCTGACGTAGATTTGGTCTTTGTTTCAGAGCTGAGTTCTGTTGGCAAAGGCACTGGATGTTTCAGGTTGTGAGTTGTTTCTGCAGGTGTTTCTATTTCATCAGTACTTCCTAGCTGTTTACCGAAAAGATTTTTCTTTCATAAGTAAATTATTTTACTAAAAGAATAAAATATCCTAAAAAATTATAGCATGCAAGGTAGTATATTCCTTCATCTCTTTTCATTCCATCCTTGACCTCTGTCTAGGACATCCACCTAAACAAAATAATCTACATTTTTAGTCCATTTAAACTCTACCTTAGTTTTTTCTTTATGTTCAGGAAGTTTTTTGTTGTTTTTTGTCCACAGTGATTTAACAGCTTCGTACACTTGCTGGCTTGTAGCATATGCCTTTTTCCCAGCTACCTAATTAAAACAAAAAGTGAGTCAAATAACATAAATTTTTAAAAGTTAAAATAACAAATATTAAAGAAAATTATGTCTTGTATTTTATATGAAAAACCAGGTCAGAATCAACAGTAAAGCTATAAGTCTCTAGATCATGATAACACACAGCTTCATTTTCTATATCTTACACAAAAAATTATTTGCCTCATGATATATATTATTTTGAGGTGTGATTTTTTTCAAAAGCTTAACAACATGTCACAGAGATGTTTCCATATCAGTTTATATACCAGAAGATCTGCTTCTAATAGCTGCAGTGTGTACTCTATAATGAACACATCATAATTCATTTAACAAATCCCCTATTGATGGGCATATGAGCATTATGATTTGTTTAACAAATCCTTTGATGATGGGCATCCTTTTCTTCTTTTGGCAATTATAACCATGCTGTAATTAGCACCCTTCCACAAATAACTGGGATCATATACCCTTGTGGTAATTGCTTGGGTATATCATTAAAAATGGTATACATTTTAATTTTTGATACTATTACCACATTGCCTTCAGAAATTCAGCACTGTACTGTAGCAATATACACTCTCACCAAGAGTATATAACTATTTTCCAACTCAATTTCTCAGCAGCAATTTTATGAATCTTTTAAATCTTTGTCAAATAGAAAGGCTAAAAACCAATATCTAAATGATCTTTTAAATTTGGATTTATTTGGTTGCTGATGAAGTTAAGCATCTTTAATATATTAGGCCATTTATGTTTCTTATTTTGTGGACTGTTTGTTCATATACTTTCTTCATTTTCTTAAAGGGCAATCATTGTTTTCCTATTGATATATAGAAGTAGTCCTGTGTTCAGTTCAGTTCAGTTCAGTTGCTCAGTCGTGTCCGACTCTTTGCGACCCCATGAATGGCAGCACGCCAGGCCTCCCTGTCCATCACCACCTCCCGGAGTTTACTTAAACTCATGTCCTGTGTTATATATGTGCAAATAAGTTTCCCAATTTTTCATTTATCCTTTAACTTTGTATATGGTATACCGTGATCAACAGAAATGTATGACTTTGATGCAGTAAAATACACTATTTTTTTTTTCTTTGATGGCTTCTGGCTGTGTTTTAAGAAGGCCTTTCCTATCTCAAGATTATACAAAAATACCTTTCTGCTCTTCTAACATTTTATAGCATTATATTTTCTCATTATATCTTTATTCCACCTGCAATATCTTTGCATGATATTTGGTAAAGGGCGAAGTGTTTTTCTGAAATGTCAATTATTCCACACATTTCTTGAATATTCCACCTTTTCTTTACACACTGATCTGAAATGCCACTTGTAGCTTAATCCTCAAACCAGCACTTATATTGTTGAATTATATTTTAACAAATTAATCCTATTTATTTATGATAATCATGTAATTAACAATGGCATTAACAAGCTGAGATGCTAATGTGATTTTGCTAACATAGTTGCCAGCAGAGTTAATACCAACTATATTTCCCTGAAAATTAAATGTTAAAGGTACTGTGTGACATTTAAATATTGTCACACTGAGAATTTAAACAAATACTGAAATGAAGCTATCACTTAAAAAGAGCTTACCTTTGCAATTATTACTGATTGAACAGGGTAGCAAACAGTTGCTCCCAAAGTGGCCAATCCCAATGGATAAGCAATTCTCTTAAACCGAGAACCTGTAACATTCAAACAAACTATTAAACTTCAAACAGATGCTGCCAGACACTTGATGCTTTTATAACTTTAATATTTTCTTTGTTCCGCTTTAAGCCATCATTTATGCTAAGTTATTTTTTAGGTAAAAATACCAGTCAAGATGAGAGATAAAATGTCCTTAGGTATTACAGTTCAATTAATATCCCTTAGTTGTCACGTTCAATTTAAGAAAAGTATTCTCAATCTAACATTGATAATTACCTACACAAAGGGGGTTGATGATTTTCTTCTTTTTAAAAGCTAGGTATTTTTTCATGTCCTAAGAAACCCAGAGTTGTAGCCACAGCTTTTCCAAGTTTGTAACACCATGTGAAACTGAATGGACTCTTTTCAGATATTTTTTTTTTTACTAAGTCTCTAGAAAGCTGAAATGATCCAACTAATAAAGTTAAAGATTTTAAAAGGTACATAACTCCTTCATGTCATTGTTTTAGAATACTGAAGTAATAACTTAATAATTGCAAGTAACTTGTAATAATTCATTCATTTTCACTACTGCCTTAATTAAGCATCTAGGAGTCATTTTGAAACTTTGTTTAAAGTAGCAAAATTCTTTAAAAAAAAAAATCTTCCAAATAGAACCTCACTAGGAATTGATGTTTTTGAACTGTGGTGTTGGAGAAGACTCTTGACAGTCCCTTGGACTGCAAGGAGATCCAACCAGTCCATCCTAAATGAGATAAGTCCTGGGTGTTCATTGGAAGGACTGATGCTGAAGCTGAAACTCCAATACTTTGGCCACCTCATGCGAAGAGTTGACTCATTGGAAAAGACCCTGATGCTGGCAGGGATTGGGGGCAGGAGGAGAAGGGGATGACAGAGGATGAGATGGCTGGATGGCATCACCGACTCAATGGACATGTGTTTGAGTAAACTCCAGGAGTTTGTGTTGGATAGGGAGGCCTGGCATGCTGAGATTCATGGAGTCACAAGGAGTCAGACACTACTGAGCGACTAACTGAACTGACTGAGGAACTTCATATATAAAATCTATAGACTTGAAGTTACTCTAGTTAGCCTGAGGAAGTGAGGCTCATTATCAAGTCCTACCTACATGGCTCTTCCAGAATTCCCATATCACCCCTGAACACTTTCATGGAACCCTAGATTCTACAGAATAGTTTGAAACCCACTACTCTAAGTCATAGCTTAGTTCAAACAGACTGTTAGTTCAAAACAGTATGTATCTTAAATACTTGTCTGGGTACCCTTGACTTTAAATATGATCTGGGAAATTATTATAGATGATGGGATTTCTAATTATAGTAAGTACTTTTATTCTCTGGAACAGAATTTACAACTCAATTAAAAAATGAGACAGTTTATCTGATATATCAGTAAAATATACCAGTTTATCTGGTATATCAGAAAAATATAGCAGGCAACTTCACAGTTCAGGGAAGGTAAAACAAGATGTATTTCTCAATCTGGTTTTGACTATTAGTAATGAGGCCTTCTACAGTCATGTCTATAATAGACTAAGCATTGAGGGAGGTGGGTAGGTAGGGTGCTTCAACCTTTAGTTTTACTTTCCTTTAGATATAGACTGGTTTTGGTGATATTGGGAAAGAAGGTCTAATTATATTAAAATAGGTCTTGTTCACTATTATCCTAGTATCTGCAGTTTGGTTCTTCATTTTCAGTTCAGTTCAGTCGCTCAGTCATGTCCGACACTTTGCGACCCCATGAATCGCAGCACGGCAGGCCTCCCTGTCCATCACAAACTCCCGGAGTTTACTCAAACTCATGCCCATTGAGTCAGTGATGCCATACAGCCATCTCATCCTCTGCCGTCCCCTTCTCCTCCCACCCCCAATCCCTTCCAGCATCAGGGTCTTTTCCAGTGAGTCAACTCTTTGCATGAGGTGGCCAAAGTATTGGAGCTTCAGCTTCAGCATCACTCCTTCCAATGAACGTCCAGGACTGATCTCCTTCAGGATGGACTGGTTGGATCTCCTTGCAGTCCAAGGGACTCTCAAGAGTCTTCTTCAACACCATAGTTCAAAAGCATCAATTTTTCGGCACTCAGCTTTCTTCAGAGTCCAAGTCTCACATCCATACATGACCACTGGAAAACCCATAGCCTTGACTAGATGGACCTTTGTTGGCAAAGTAATGTCTCTGCTTTTTAACATGCTATCTAGGTTGGTCATAACTTTCCTTCCAAGGAGTAAGCATCTTTTAATTTTATGGCTGCAGTCACCATCTGCAGTGATTTTGCAGTCCAAAAAAATAAAGTCTGACATTGTTTCCACTGTCTCCCCATCTATTTCCATGAGGTAATGGGACCAGATGCCATGATCTTAGTTTTCTGAATGTTAAGCTTTAAGCCAACTTTTTCACTCTCCTCTTTCACTTTCATCAAGAGGCTCTTTAGTTCGTCTTCACTGTCTGCGATAAGGGTGGTGTCATCTGCATATCTGAGGTTATTGATATTTCTCCCAGCATTCTTGATTCCAGCCTGTGCTTCTTCCAGCCCAGTAAAATCAGTTGTTGATTTTACTGACCTAATTTTTCTTAATGTAGGTTTCTTTGACTCAGCCAAATTCTAATTCTGTTGCTCCTAAACTTGGAAGGTGGCAGGTTTTCCTAAATGTGTCATCTTATTTTATTCATTATTTACTTTTTTTGTAGTTGCTATACTTTTAAAAATCATTTTAAAATTGAAATATAACCATTTCTTTATTGATAAACATTGAATAGTATACTATTCTCAAATCAAACATCCAAATGTTTAGTGTTGAATATTGCATATGCTTGGATTTGTTCTGTTTTTTCATATGACTATATATCTATGGGGAAAAATTGAAGTGTGTTTGATTTACAATGTTGTGTTAGTTTCAGGTGTATAGCAAAGTGATCCAATTATATATATATATATATATATATATATATATATATATATACATATTCTCTTTCAGATTCTTTTCCATTATTGGTTATTACAATATATTGAATATAGTTCCCTTGTTATATCATTGTTGTTTATCTAGTTTATATATAGTAGTGTGTATATATATTAATCCCAAACTCCTAATTTCCCTCCCTCTCTCCTCCCCACTATCCCCTTTGATAACCATAAGTTTGTTTTCTATGTGTATGATTCTATTTCTGTTTTTTAAATAAATTCATTTATATCATTTAGATTCCCCATATAAGTGATATCATATGATATCTGTCTTTCTCTTACTTCACTTACTATGATAATTTATAGGTCCATCCATGTTGCTGTAAATGGCATTATTTCATTCTTTTTTATGGCTGAGTAATAATATTCCATTCTATCTGTGTGTATATGTACACACATCACATATTCTTTATTATTTTAAAAATTAAAAGATTTACATTCATCCTCTCTTTACTTGATATGAAAGGCCAGTTTACAAGACAATAAATTGCATTTGTGTTCAAGTGCCCTACTCCTATAAGTAGGAGATGACTCTAGACATAGTCACTAACTAGCTATGTAATATGTACTATGCAATCATTGAATGATTTCCTTTCTCTAGACCTCTATCTGTAACATTATAGGATTACACTAAACCAACATCTTTCATAATTTTTTGACCATGACTCACACTGAAGAACAAATTTTGACCTATCTCTGTTTCTATTTCTCTTTCACATACAAACACAAGCGCGCGCATGCACACACACACACACACACACACACACACACTACTGAAATGAAAGTTTCACAATATTTATCCATACGGAGTACAAAACACTCTTCTATTTTCTATCTTCCTCTAGTTTGATTTTGAATAAAATGCTTCCTGAGAATCACCATATTTAATTCACTACATACTTATAAACTGAGCTCTGTAATTAAAAAAAAAAAACTGGATTAGATTATTCTAGCTCTGACATTTTGGAGTCATTGTAGATGACCTAAGGGACAGTCTCTCTTACAAGTGGATTGTAAGAACTGAATAATACACTTTGGCCAGTTTCCTTTAAAATTGAATTCTTTGTCTTATTGTCACATATGGTGATCTTGGTTTTCAATGTCTTTCCTAACAAATAATTTATAGTATGTATGCAATTAAAGGTTGCATATAGTGTTAGAATAAAAACTATGATACAAGGAGCCATTAATATTATCTATAAGGAAATTGTTAGATCTGTTGTGATAGATACATGGGCTATAGTAGAATGCTGGAATGTTCTTATAACTTACAGAGGTTTTATATCTGATTAGGTATACTTGGGTTAAGGCTACTTTAAGGACTAAAGCCGGGTAAACCAACCATAATGCATCTGACGTCAAACTCCAGGCTGGTTCAGAACTGTGGTTTAGCTGGTTCTAACCACGTGTAATTTAGTTTAGAGACAATGACTGGCATTGGGAGACAGAGGATAAATGGAAGGTGCTCAAGATGGCTAATGACCAGAGAACTGACCAGCTTAGTAAGGGCTTAAGTAAGAAGGGTAGACAGTAATTTCTACTGAAAGAGATTTCCATACCAGAGATGGAAGATGGGCAAATACAAAATTCACCATGTGTTTAGGAGAGTTATTTAATGATGTGCAGAAAAGAGTTAACATATGCCCAAGACTGCTACTGTTAGTAAGGTATGCTTGCAAGACTGGCTGGCACCTGGAAACCTGACTGGTAAGTAGTTCACTACACTAAGAGAAAATGTTTCCTGAATCACAAGAATGGTTCGGTTCAGTTCAGTTCAGTTGCTCAGTCGTGTCTGACTCTTCACGACCCCATAGACCACAGTACGCCTGGCTTCCCTGTCCATCACCAACTCCCAGAGTTTACTCAAACCCATGTCCATCGAGTCGGTGATGCCATCCAACCATCTCATCCTCTGTCGTCCCCTTCTCCTTCCGCCTTCAATCTTTCCCAGCATCAGGGTCTTTTCAAATGAGTCAGTTCTTCGCATGAGGTGGCCAAAGTATTGGAGTTTCTGCTTTAGCATCAGTCCTTCCGATGAATATTCAGGACTTACATCCTTTAGGACTGACTGGTTGGGTCTCCTTGCAGTCCAAGGGACTCTCAAGAGTCTTCACCAACACCATGGTTCAAAAGCATCAATTCTTCGGCGCTCAGCTTTCTTTATAGTCCAACTCTCACAAATAACATGGTTTATGCTGAACAACTATTGACACTTTTCTTCTGGGAGTCTGGAATCTTGGTACATGCCAGACAAACAGTGTTTATATGACTAGCCTCCAATAAGAGCCTTGGTCACTCAGTCTCTAATGAGCTTCTCTGACTGACAACATCTCATAAGTATTGTCACAATTCATTAGTGACATCTTATGACTCATATGTATTGTCACAATTCATTGGTGACATCTTATGACTTATAAGGAATTAGGTGCATCTTATGACTTACACAAGGAGCCTGGCGGGCTTCAGTCCATAGGGTCGCAAAGAGTTGGACATGACTCAAGTGACTGAGCATGCACACATGACTTACACGACTCTACTGGGAGAAAACTCCTGGAAGCTTGTAATTCGTTTCCTCTAAGCTTTGTCTGATGTATCTTTTCCCTTTGTTGATTTTACTTTGCATCCTTTCAATGGAATAAATCTTAGCCATGAATATGACTATAGGTTGAATCCCCTAAGTCTTCTGAGCTAACTATCAAACCTGAGACTGTGGGGACTCTCTCTGTAGAAGTGGTATAGTGAGAAGGAAGGACAAAGTTGGTAGAGATACAGAGTACAAAGATGAAAAGAAATCAAATATATTAACCCTCATGTGCTGAATGAGAGTAGTGAGTGAGTTGTCTACCTCAGAATCTCCATTCCCAGCTAGCTGATGTCAGTTCCAACAACCTTGATCAGGATGAGACCAAGAGGGAATAATTTTTTTTTTCTGAGATATATCAGTATCTGTCTCAATTTCTTAATATAGTCCTCCAAATATGGGTGTTCACAACTAAGCAAAGAAAAGTAGTTTGAGTGGTTAATATACATTATTATACAAATGTAAAATTTTTAAATGTTTTTAATAACAAGAGATTATTAAGATCTTGTCAAAAATAATGTTGTCTAAAAGATGAAAAACAAAATGATAAATTACAATTTTAAAAGGAACAGCTATATATTTTTCAAATTTTATTTTTAAATGACCATTCAGGAAATTCAACTTTTGGGGAGGTTCAGTTTCTATCCATTTTAATATATGTACACAGTCATGAAACCACGACTACAATCAGGGTATGTTCTATCACTCCTAAAAATTATCTTACATTATCCCTTTGTAGTCACACCTTTCCCCCACTCCTAACCCCTGTGAACCACTGACTTATTCTTTGTCACTAAAGTTTTGCCTTTTTGAGAATAATGTGAATGGAATCATACATTGTGTAACTTTTTAAGACTGGCTTCTTTAACTCAGATTCATCAAGATTGTTCTACATATCAATGGTTCATTCCTTTTGTTCCTAAGTAGTATTCCTTTGTATGAATGTCCCATAGATTAGTTCACTGTTGAAAGACATTTATGTTGTTTGCAGCTTTCGGTGGTTATGAATGGAGTTACTATAAATACACCAGGGAAGCCTGGCATGCTGCAGCTCATGGGGTCGCAGAGTCAGACACGACTGGGCGAATGAACAACAACAACTATAAACATTAGTATATAGGTTATCCAGAGTAAATACCCAAGAGTGGGAATACTGGATGTCATAGTAATTACATGTTTAACTTTATGAGAAACTGTCAGGCTATTTTCCAGAATGGCTATCTCGTTTTGTATTCCCACCAAAAGTGTACAAGAGTGTCAGTTGCTCTGCATTCTCAACTACATTTTGTATGAGCATTCTTCTTAATTTGAGATATTCTAATAGGTATGTATTGTTATCTCACTGTATCTTTTAAAAATATATATTTATTTTTTAATTGAAGGATGATTGCTTTACAGAATTTTGTTGTTTTCTGTCAAACATCAACAAGAATCAGTCATAGGTCCACCCACATCCCCTCCCTCCTGAGCCTCCCTCCCATCTCCCTCCCTCTTGAACCCTTCTAGATTGTTATAGAGATTCCTGAATCATACAGCAAATTCCCATTGACTATCTATTTTACATATGGTATTGTAAGTTTCCATGTTACTCTCATCATACATCTCACTAACTGTAGTTTTAATTTGCTTTTCCCTAATAACTAATGATATTGGACTTCTTTTGGAATCACTCTATTTCTAAAAACACAAAAAAGTCTTTGTGAAAGTAAAGTAAACACACGGTACAATAGAATCTAAAAATTTTTTACATTAGCCTATCCTAGTAATATTCAATAAGGGATATGAGGTTTTCCTGTAGCAGTAAAATTCAGAAATTAGCATAATAGCATTGAAAGAGGGAATATATATATTTTAACCTTACCTTTTCTTGCTGAAATGAAGCCTGCCAATCCTGAAACTGTAATCACTCCAATTTTTGGAAGAAAATCTCGAGGTGGATTCTTCAGATATACATATGCATCTCAAGAAATCAGTTAAAATTAATATGAATAATTTACAATTGGGCATTCATATCAGTATGATGAAAAGTTAAGAGATTTGCTAAGATAATAGCAGATGATTTAAACATTCGCGAGAGCCAACTCACTGGAAAAGACCATGATGCTGGGAAAGATCAAAGACAAAAGGAGAAAGGGATGAGATGGTTGAATGGCATCACTGACTCAATGGATATGAGTTTGAGCAAACTCCAGGAGATAGTGAGGGACAGAGGAGCCTGGCAGGCTACAGTCCATGGGGTTGCAAACAGCTGGACAAGGCTTAGCGACTGAACAACAACAGAAAGAACTACACAAAGTAATGATTTGAGCAGCAACTTAAAAAGCCAGTTATAATAAATAGTTACCTGCTACAAAATAAAAATCTTCCTTCCACAGCTTATTTTATAGCATTTGTTTTCTTAATAGAGGTGATTATTACATTTTAATGAAACATAATGCTAGAGTGCACACCTTAAGATGGATTACTATAAAGTAAATTCCTGATTGTGTATGCACAATAATGGAAATGTTTCTAGCCTTATCTATTTAAACAATGGTAGGATCCAGAAAGAATTGAAATAGATACTTTATTAAGGAACTTTGAATAAGAGTCTAGTAAAACATGCAGCTACCACACTTTGCTTGTCACACTATTCCCCAGTAACCTCAGAATAGTTGTTACTCTCAGTTAAAACCAATGATCAGAGTACAGACAAAAAATAGATGGAGAGTGGGTAGAGGTCCAGATTTCTTGACTTTTTTATATGTTTATATGGTTTCTGGTTCCATGCAACCCCCAGAAACACTTCTATCATAATTATTTAATTTTTTAATGGAGTTCATTTATTTAATATTCCTCAAGGCTGATGAGGCATATAACTTGGAATTAATTAGAATTAATCTCTACACACATTATATGATGATACATATACAGGTTATCAATATCAGTGACATTTAAAAACTTTAGCTAATCTTTCTGTCCCTACCCCCCATACACATTTATTTTGACAACTGTCTTAGGCTAAGAAGGGAGCTATATCTGCTGCCAAACTTCTTTATCAAATTAACAAGTCAAATACAATTGTTTTCCAACATTGGCTCAAATATTCTAGGGTGACTAATTGAAGTACCGTTTCCGAGCAATTGGTAGCAAACTACTATGCATTTTAACAGCAAACAGTACTTATTTAAACTAATAATAATGGAGATATATTTCAGTTTATGGTTTATGAGTATGCAATATGGGTTTTGTAACAAAAACAGTTTGAGCCCAGGTGTTGCTACTTACTAGCTATGTGACCTTGGTAATCCACTTAACCCTTCTAAACCACATGTTCCTCATCTATAAAATGGGAGTAAGTATAATACCAACATTCACAGGTTTGCTACAAAATTAAAATGGATAAATTATGTAAAATGCTTATTACAGTGCCTCAGCATATAACAATTGCTAAATAAATAATGGATACCATTGCTTTATTATTGTCATAAACTGCTATATGGAGTATCTTCTGAGTTGGTAAAACATGATAATGGATAACACTCCAGGTTTGTTTTCTCACATGTAAACACTGCAAGTTAAAAAGACAGTAGAACATTTCTGAATATAGATGGTTCACTCACCTACCTTTTCCAAATTGCACTGTATCCATTATCCCATTTTTCACAAAGACATAAACACCCTAAGTAAAAAGGGGGGGAAAAAGGACATCTGTATTTTTGAAGATATTGATAATTAGATCAAATAGCCCACATCTCTGAGAGTGTATGAAATTTCACCAAAATAAATCTAGCTTCTCTATCTATCTATCAGGACACTTCTTGAGCTTAGCTTTTCTTCTTATTTTTCATCTATTTAACATGGATAATACATGTTATTATTTTCCTCATATAAATGGGTAAAGTAATGCCTAGAAAACACATCAGAGCTGCTCACAGAAAAGTTATTACAGAAATACAAAGATTTATCATCTTATTTTATGACAGTGTAGAAAAATGAATGGAATTTTTAAAAAGCATGAAGAGAGCTATATTTCAGCTTAGAAGCAACATCTAATTAATAAATATGCACTATAATATCATAAAGTAATTAGCCTCCAACTAGTACAAATAAATGAAGAAAAAAAAGATGCAACAGCAACAACTTTAATGATTTGTGGAGAAAACAAAAAGCCTAAACAAAGTGCTTCATCTCCCTTTTTCTTAGTGTGCATTCAGTTCAGTTCAGTCGCTCAGTTGTGTCCGACTTTTGCGACACCATGGACTGCAGCACGCCAGGCTTCCCTGTCCATCACCAACTCCCAGAACTTGCTCAAACTCATGTCCATCGAGTCAGAGACACCATCCAACCATCTCACCCTCTGTTGTCCCCTTCTCCTCCTGCCTTCAATCTTTCCCAGCATCAGGGTCTTTTCAAATGAGTCAGTTCTTCACATCAGGTGGCCAAAGTATTGGAGATTCAGCTTTAGCATCAGTCCTTCCAATGAATACTCAGGACTGATTTCCTTTAGGATGGACTGATTGGATCTCCTTGCAGTCCAAGGGACTCTCAAGAGTCTTCTCCAACACCACAGTTCAAAAGCATCAATTCTTCGACGCTCAGCTTTCTTTATGGTACAACTCTCACATCCATACATGACTACTGGAAAAACCATGGCTTTGATTATATGGACCTTGTCAGCAAAGTAATGTCTCTGCTTTTAATATGCTGTCAGTGTTTGTCACAGCTTTTCTTCCAAGGAGCAAGGGTCTTTTAATTTCATGGCTGCAGTCACCATCTGCAGTGATTTTGGAGCCCAAGAAAATAAAGTTTGTCACTGTTTCCATTGTTTCCCCGTCTATTTGCCATGAAGTGATGGGACCGAATGCCATGATCTTAGTTTTTTGAATATTGAGCTTTATAGTGTGCATTAGAAAAATAAATGAGACATTTACCTTAGGATAGAAATCATCCTACACAGACTGCTGTTGATCTTGTTTTTTCAGTAGGAACATAAATTCTCTGCAAATCAAGATCATATTAACCCACTGGAGGGATTAAAGCTTTAAATCAAATTCCTCCTTTTACCTGTTTCTATTTTAATACAGGAAATATTGTTACACACATTTTTTTCAATAGGTATTATCTCAATTACATCAGAAGAAAAATGAAGGTATGGAATAATTTACCAGTACCAATTGCCCATTGTCATGCTGTATTCTATCAACGGAACTATAAAACACAGTGTACATATATAGTCTCCTTCTATGAACTAGATGCTATGAAATCATGGAAGGAAAACAACAAAAGAAAACAACGACAACAATAAAAGATTTTCAAAGCAAAGAAAATAGAAATAATTACATTAAATAAGAAAGGTTATTGCTATTGACAAAGTATTAGTAACTTTGTCTCAGATACTTTCATGATGATCAGATGCAGAACCTGTTCATTGTGTTTTATTTTTTTTTTCGATTTATTTTTTATTAATTGGAGGCTAATTACTTTACAATATTGTACTGGTTTTTGTCATACATTGACATGAATCAGCCATGGATTTACATGTATTCCCCATCCCGATCCCCCCTCCCACCTCCCTCTCCACCCGATCCCTCTGGGTTTTCCCAGTGCACCAGGCCCGAGCACTCGTCTCATGCATCCAACCTGGGCTGGTGATCTGTTTCATCCTAGATAATATACATGTTTCAATGCTGTTCTCTTGAAACATCCCACCCTCGCCTTGGACTCCCACAGAGTCCAAAAGTCTGTTCTATACATCTGTGTCTCTTTTTCTGTTTTGCATATAGGGTTATCGTTACCATATTTCTAAATTCCATATATATGTGTTAGTATATTGTAATGGTCTTTATCTTTCTGGCTTACTTCACTCTGTACAATGGGCTCCAGCTTCATCCATCTCATTAGAACTGACTCAAATGAATTCTTTTTAATGGCTGAGTAATATTCCATGGTGCATATGTACCACAGCTTCCTTATCCATTTGTCTGCTGATGGGCATCTAGGTTGCTACCATGTCCTGGCTATTAAAAACAGTGCTGCGATGAACATTGGGGTGCACGTGTCTCTTTCAGATATGGTTTCCTCAGTGTGTATGCCCAGAAGTGGGATTGCTGGGTCATATGGTAGATCTATTTCCAGTTTTTTAAGGAATCTCCACACTGTTTTCTATAGTGGCTGTACTAGTTTGCATTCCCACCAACAGTGTAAGAGGGTTCCCTTTTCTCCACACCCTCTCCAGCATTTATTGCTTGTAGACTTTTGGATAGCAGCCATCCTGACTGGCGTGTAATGGTACATCATTGTGGTTTTGATTTGCATTTCTCTGATAATGAATGATGTTGAGCATCTTTTCATGTGTTTTTTAGCCATCTGTATGTCTTCCTTGGAGAAATGTCTGTTTAGTTCTTTGGCCCATTTTTTGATTGGGTCATTTATTTTTCTGGAGTTGAGCTGGAGGTGTTGCTTGTATATTTTTGAGATTAATCCTTTGTCTGTTGCTTCGTTAACCAACATGTGCCCTAATTGCCACTGAGCTATATCTCCTTAGGGACTGTCTCTTGAAAAAATGTTTACCTTCGAAGTTATAATACTTACAGACCAGTTGATTGGGAATCATGTAACTGTTGAGGAAGAAAACTAGTCACTGCTTTTGGGGAATTTTCCTTAGCTGTGTTTAGGGATTCACTTTTACCACTGGAGGTCACTGCTAGCTAAATTTCAAAACACTAAGGAACAGGAATAGAAAATGAATTTGCTCTCCATGATTCTAAGTTTAATGCAGAATATAATTTGAGTCAGAAGTAATTTTTAGAGAATAGATTATTTTTTAAGAGAAAATTAGAGAGGAAATGTTTACATTGAAGATGAAATTCATTTGAAAGCACCCTCCTTCAACCTATTCAGTTCAGCATATTAACAGAATAAAAAGTTCTTTTGGTCTTAAATTGGGTGACAGTAACAATACCAATTTAAAAATCCTTCAGGAACAATTGCCCTCACTGAAAACAACTTTGAGGACACTATGGAAAATGAGCTGTCAAGAGACTTCAGTCTGAATCATCCAGATGTTGACATATACTCTCACAGGCATGATTCAGACCCTATTAGTTAAGCTATTTCTTGCTAAGATGAAACTATAGTACAACTAGTCAAACTATTAAGGGTGTGTTAAAAGTCTATCGGAATCTTTTGACAGGCATAAAATAAAACACCATATATTCATCAGATGTTTGAAATGCCAGCTGAAATGACCATAGTTCAAAGATTTGCTATTTAAGAACATTAGAATTTTCTTTCTAAAAAGAATGGATTAGAAACAAAAAAGGCACAAGGGTTCACAATTGATAGGTTAGATTTGAGGAAAAGTTGTGTGGTTATTAGGTCACAATGATTAAACTAATAGTACTGACATTATCTATGACATTTACACTGGAAATGTTGATGGTAGCACACCTCTATGTGGATGTGATAATGAAACAGCAGTAATGTACTAGCTTATTCCACCATTCTACTGCTGGATAGTGTTGATTCAAAGCTAAGTATTAAAATAAGGTGAATTCTATTTTGCCCAATAGATGGCTACAGTCAGAAATGTCTTATGAACCAAACCCAATATGTTTACATTTTACTTAGTCAAATAAGGAACAATGCAGAAGTAACCTCAGAACTTCATGTAAAAACTCAAGCAATGTTTTGTACATGCCGTGTGACATAAATGATTGTTGAACTTCTTTAATCTATGCAGTAGTGGTAGAGTAAATTATATATGGCCACAAATTTTTTGCTGCTACTCATACTGAGAGATGGTATCTAATTCCTCTCCCATAAAAACTGGGTTGGCCTTAGTGACTTTATTTAACAACAAAATGTTGTACAAGTAACCTTCCTGGACATTTTCAGATGGGTAAGAAGCTTGGTGAATTGTGACTAGGGCCTCTTGCAACATTTTATCTAGAAGCCCTGAACTGTCCATATAACTTATCTGACTACCTGAGGCTGAGTGTAGATGCTTCAGTCAACATTCCCAGCTGAGCCCAGCCTTATAGCCATCTGTGACAAGGTGTCAGTGATGAGAATGAAGCTGTCTTGGACTCTGTAGATCAGTCCATTCACCTGATAAATGCCACTGAGTGACCTTTGTCAATACCATATGCGACAGAAGAATTAGCTATCCGAAGTATGATTAAATTTATGACTCACAAAATCATGAGTTAGAATAGTTACTATTTTAAGCCATTAAGTTTTGGGGCAGTTTGTTATACATCAGTGGATAACTGGAACAATTGTTACATAAGAAAAATGAGAACCCTCTGATATTAAACCACTATCAGAATTCACTTACCTTACACCAGCCAATATAACGACCAGTTGTAGTGCGAATGGATGCAAAGCCCATTTGTAAATGACCAGGCTGCTCTTCAACATATTTAGACTGGAGAGGTGGTGCAGTATATATGGGGAGCTAGAAGGGAAAAAGTTCATGTCAAAAATATAAAATAGCTGAACTTCTTTTTTCCAGCATATGGCAGAATAAGAATCCTTATCAACCTTCCTACTGAAAACAACTGAAAAATGCTGATAAAATATATTTTGCCTGTGCGCTAGGTCACTTTAGTCACGTCCGACTCTTTGTGACCCTATGGACTATGTAGCCTACCAGGCTCCTCCAGGCAAGAATACTGGAGTGGGTTGCCATGCCCTTCTCCAGGAATCTTCCTGACCCAGGGATCGAATCTGCATTTCTAATGTCTCCTGCATTGGCAGGCGAGTTCTTTACCACTAACGCCACCTGGGAAGACCAAAATATATCTTAAACCATCTTAAATGCAGGAATAACCTGGTAACCTGTTTATAAAGACTATTCAAAAGCCAGACATTAGGTGAAGGCAAAAATGCAGAGATGAACAACAAAACCAGCTTCTACCTTGATGTCATTTGCTGTGAAACAGATGGTTAATGGAGTATGGATTCAGAAAACAAAACCCAGAATGAGCTTGAGGTGCACAATCTTACTGGAGACCCTTTAAAAACTGGCATCTCAAGATGCTGCACCCCAAATTAAGGTTGAGCTAGAAATAAACATTTCATTGCAAGGGGCTGTTAGGATAACTGATTGTCTCAAAGACTGGTCACTGAGTAGAGAAGAAAGAACATTTCCTAAGAATTGGCAGTCACAAGTGAGAACTCATAAACTATAGCACAAAACTATCTCAATAATCTAAGAAATCTCAAATCAAGTATACATGTAGTGTGCTCCCAGGCTGGTATCCCTCACAGATATGTAGCAGATGCAAATGAACAGATTCTCTCTGGAGGAAGACACCCAGACTTCAGAGAATTATAACAGATAAAGTTCTAAGAAATATGAAACCACAATTTTGAAAAATTTAAAAAATTCAAAGAAGCAAAATTAGAAAACATTAGAAAGGATCTTGACAAGAGCTAGCAGAAACAACAAAGAGCAGAATCAGAACCGCAAAAATGTCTACACTAGAACATATGATATCAAATACATGTATTTTTTGTTGTTGTTGACAATGAGGGCTACTCCATTTCTTCTAAGGGCTTCTTGCCCACAGTAGTAGATATAATGGTCATCTGAATTAAATTCACCCATTCCTATTCATTTTAGTTCACTGATTCCTAAAATGTTGATGTTCACTCTTGCCATCTCCTGCTTGACCATGTCCAATTTACCTTGATTCATGAACCTAACATTCCAAGTTCCTATGTACCATTTTTGTCTACAGGATTGGAATTTACTTTCAACACCATACCCATTCACACCTGAGCATCGTTTCTGTTTTAGCCCAGACAATTCATTCTTTCTAAAGCTATTTCTCTGCTCTTCCCCAGTAGCATATCGACACCTACTGACTTGGGGTGCTCATCGTCCAGAGTCATATATTTTTCCCTTTTCATACTGTTCATGGGTTCTCTAGGCAACAATACTGAAGTGGTCAGCCATTCCCTTCTCCAATGAACAACATTTTGCCAGAACTCTCCACCATGACCCATCCGTATTTGGTGACAAGAGTCCGAAATGCAGTACATGGGTACAATCTCAGAAACGACAGAATAATCTCAGTTTGTTCACAAGGCAAACCATTCAATATCACAGTAATCCAAATCTATGCCTCAACCACTAATGCTGAAGAAGCTGAAGTTGTATGGTTATATGAAGACCTACAAGATTTTCTAGAAAAAAAAAAATGTCCTTTTCACCATAGGGGATTGGAATGCAAAAGTAGGAAGTCAAGAGTTACCTGGAGTAACAGGCAAGTTTGGCCTTGGGAGTACAACAAGAACACAATGGTCGTAGCAAACACTTCTTCAAACAACACAAGAGATGACTCTACACATGAACATCACCAGATGGTCAATACCAAAATCAAATTATATTCTTTGAAGCCAAAGATGGAGAAGCAAAAACAAGACCAGGAGCTGACTGTGGCTCAGATCATGAGCTCCTTATTGAAAAATTCAGGCTTAAATTGAAGAAAGTAGAGAAAATCACTAGATCATTCAGGTATGACTTAAATCAAATTCTTTATGATTATACAGTGGAGGTGGCAAACAGATTGAAGGGGTTAGATCTGATAGAGTGCTTGAAGAACTATGGATGGGGGTTCATAACATCGTACAAGAGGTGGTGACCAAAATCATTTCACAGAAAAAGAAATGCAAGAAGGCAAAATGGTTGTCTGAGGAAGTCTTACAAACAGATGAGAAAAGAAGAAAAGCAGAAGGCAAATTAGAAAGGGAAAGGCATGCCCAACTCAATGCAGAGTTCCAGAGAGTAGAAAGGAGAGGTAAGAAAGCCTTCCTAAGTTAACAATGAAAAGAAACAGAGGAAAACAATAGAATGGGGAAGACTAGCTATGTCTTCAAGAAACGTTGAGATATCAAGGGAATATTTTATGCAAAGATGGGCACTACAAAGGAGAGAAATGGTAAGGACTTAACAGAAGCAGAAGAGATTAAGAAGAGGTAGCAAAAAAACACAGAAGAACTATACAAAAGCCTTAAGACCTGGATAACCATGATGTTGTGGTCACTCACCTAGAGCCAGACATCCTGGTGCGTGAAGTCAAGTGGGCCTTAGGAAGCATTACTACAAACAAAGCTAGTGAAGGTGATGAAATTCCAGAAGAGCTATTTAAAATCCTAAAAGATGATGCTGTTAAAGTGCTGCACTCAATATGCCAATAAATTTCGAAAACTCCTCAATGGCCATAGGACTGGAAACGGTCTGTTTTCATTCCAATCTCAAAGACAGACAATGCCAAAGAATGTTCAAACTATCGTGCAACTACATTCATTTAGCATGCTAGCAAGGTAATGCTCAAAATCCTTCAACCTAGACTTCAGCAGTACATGAACTGAAAACTTACAGATGTACAAGTTGGATTTAGAAAAGGCAGAAGAATCAGAACCTAAATTGCTGATATCCATTGGATCATAGAAAAAGCAAGGGAATTCCAGAAAAATATCTACTTCTGCTTTATTGACTACGCCAAAGACTTTGTGTGGATCACAACTGTGGACAATTCTTAAAGAGATAGGAATACCAGACCACCTTACTGGTCTCCTCAGAAACCTATATGCAGGTGAAGAAGCAATAGTTAGTACTGGACATAGAACATGGACTGGTTCAAAATTGGGAAAGGAGTATGTCATGGCTGTATATTGTCACCCTGCTTATTTAACTTATATGCAGATTACATCATATGAAATGCCAGGCTGGATGAATCACAAGCTGTAATCAAGTTTTCCAGGAGAAATATCAACAATCTCAGATATGCAGATGATACCACTCTAATGGCAGAAAGCAAAGAGGAACTAAAAAAAAAAAAAAAACTCTTGATGAGGTTCAAAGAAGAGAGTTAAAAAGCTAGCTTAAAATTCAACATTCAAAAAACTAAGATCATGACCTGGCATCTGGTCCCATCACTCCATGGCAAATAGATGAGGAAAAAGTGGAAAAGTGGCAAATTTTATTTTCTTATGCTTGAAAATCACTGTGAATGGTGACCATAGCCACGAAATTAAAAGACACTTGCTCCTTGGAAGAAAAGCTATGACAAACCTAGACAGTGTATTAAAAAGCAGAGACATCACTTTGCTGACAAAGGTCCATATACTACAAACTATGGTTTTTCAAGTATTCATGTACAGATGGGAGAGTTGTACCATAAAGAAGGCTTAGTGCCAAAGAATTGTTTTTTTCAAATTGTGGTGCTGGAGAAGACTCCTGAGAGTCCTTCAGATAGCAAGGAGATCAAACCAGTCAACCCTGAAGGAACTCAACCCTGAATATTCATTGGAAGTACTGATGCTTAAGTTGAAGCTCCGATACTTTGGCCACCTGATGTGAGGAGCTGACTCACTGGAAAAGACCTTGATGCTGGGAAAGATTGAGGGCAGGAGAAGAAGGGGTGACAGAGAATGAGATGGTTGGATGGCATCACTAACTCAATGAACATAAGCTTGACAAGCAAACTCCAGGAGATGGAATGAAGGACACAGTGAAGGGCAGTGAAGTCTGGTGTGCTCCACTCCTTGTGGTCACAAAGAGCTGGACAGGACTCAGCAATTGAACAACAACAACATATAATTTTTATATTTAGAGAAATAGAAGGGGAAATTTGAGTTTAGAGCAAGAGACTACAAAAATTACCAAAGCTAATGAAAATAAAGTGAAAGATAATTTCTAGAACTGGAGATTAAAACTTAAAGAACTCCGTTGATAAGTTTTGATAGATCAGAAACAGTTTAGAGTTTCTGAGGGACTTTGTGAACTAGTAGTCCTGAGAGAAATTGCTATGCAAAGAAATGAAAAAAATATGAAAGTGGTATGTACAATAGATTGAGAAATATCAACTTAGGTCTAGTCAGAGATCCAAAAGAAAGGAGAAAGATGGGGTAGAAGTAATATTTAAAGAGAATAATTAAGATTTTTCCAGAACTTAAGAACACTTGACAGGTTCAGAAATCCAACATATCCCAAACAGGATAAATAAAAAGTAGTCCACATTTAGACAAACCATAGAAAAACTCCATAATGCCAAGGACAAAGGGGGGATATTAAAAAGAAAAGCAGATAGAAAAGACAGATTACCTTCACAGGAATAAAAAACTAGATAAAACTGAAAAACAACATTGGAAGGCATGATATAATATCTTCAATGTGCTAAAGAAAGTAACTCAACTGAGAATTTTATATTCAGTAGAATACCTTTGTTTCAAAAATGAGGGGAGAAGTAAGGACACATTCAGACAGACAAAGTCCAAGGTAGTTTGAAAACAAATGACCCTCAGTGAGAAATTCCACATCACGTACTTAAGGTAGAAGAAAAATGTTCCCATTGAGAAGGTCTGTGATAGAAGAAAGAATCATTAGCAAAGAACGTGGTAAATACGTGGGTAAAACTGAAACAATGAAAATATAACATAATAATT